TATGTCTCACTTCTTACCGTAACTTCTCTATTAAACATGAATTGACTACACTCTCTATTAAGAATTTAAAGTAACTCTTCAACATTGATTCGAATACAATGGACTTTTATACCAGCAATGTCTTACATATGTCATTATATTTTTGCCATGTCCCTTACCTTTGTGTCACCACTGTAAGTTATCTGGATGGATATATAAAAAGAATAGAATGCAGTGACTCTCTTTTGTCGAACTTCTGTCAAATTATCATTTTATCATCTCCTAGATATTTCTATAGTCAAAGAAACACTTATAAAGGCACACTATTTTAATTTGAATGACTGTGATGGTTGAGAACCTCTTCTGTTGAACGTAGTAACTAGGTTAAATTCTCTACCTTTTAATATTAGGTTTTCTCTCCCCATCATGTGAGTAAACATCATAATAACATTAAAATATTTAATACTTGGTGGGGATAATCGAATTATAAATGTTATGTGAATTGTGTTGTACTGGATTAACAATTAGATTGCATGGAATCCTTTAACTATCATAAACTAACATTGCATTTATGGAACTCTGAATGTGCAATTGGTTAGAGAGAGTATTATGAGCCATATATTGGTGTTCTACTAGGGGTGGTAATTAAATAAGGGTCCTGGTTAGCTTTTGTCAATGTGGCATAAGCCAGGAAGAAGGAACATCAGTGAGAAAATACACCACTCAGATTGGAATATAGGCAAGTCTATGAAAATTTGTCTTGATTAATGATTGACTTAGAAAGGACCCATCACATGGGGGATGTACCATTTACTGGCAGGTCATTTTGAATTAAGAACCAGGCTAAGCATGTCATGAAGAGCTAGCCAGTAAGAAGTGTCCCTTCATGGTTTGTGCTTCAGTTCCTGCCTGTAGGGTCTTACTCTCTTTGACTCCTTGTTCTGAATTTCTCAGGGATAGAGACTATTACCTGGAAATACAACATGACATGAACCCTCTCTGCCCTACTTGATTTTGGTCATGGAGTTTTATCATAGCAATATTAACCTAACTCAGAGAGTAAGGAAAGCCTACATTAGGGAAAGAAAAGGGAAATAAATCACCCTCACCCCAATAATTTTCAACTTTATGTAGGTTACTTAAGTATCTAAATATTATACATTTGGACATGTTCATTCATATGAAAAGTATACATTATGCCAATTTATACTAATTTAAAAATTCATACTTTTTTATTGTAAATGATTTCTTCTTCTAGAGAAGGCTGGTCACAACAATTCAGTTCCCCTAACTTCACACTTAAGTGCCGGGATCCACAGGTATTCACTGCCATGCCCTAACTACAAGTGATTACGAAATCTTAAAACATATTACTGACATTTTCCTAGTATGAATTTCCTGATAATAATGCTCATTCTTTCTATATAGCAGAAAGAACTGACAAGCAGAGGGGAACATGTCCTCATGTTCGGGCTCACTGAACATAAAATGTGGGTAGTCAGTCGGAATCCATTTCAGAGGCAAATTTTGCAGGCTCTATGAATTTCTGAGATCATTACTTTTCTGAATTTACATCACTGCTCCTCCATTTCTGATAAATAGGGAAACTGTCACATACTCATGGATTTGTGGTGAAGTTTATGTCAGGAAATGCATATCAATCTTGTAACATGGGCGATTTCAGTAAGCAAGCACTTTACAGGTGATATTATAAAAGATGATACTACAGTTATAAAGTCATAAATCATAAGTATTATCATACCTAAAATTAACAACTCCTATAAACCATGTCAAGGGGTTCCAGCAAGGATTCTTATATTAACAGGAATAGTTAGAATGAGAAAGGCCATGGAGTTCCACCCTCAAAATGCCATGAATCAGAAATATAAGCATGTCTCACTCATGACAGTAAAGCATGAGCATTTAAAACTCTACCTTTAGAGGATATAATTTTATTACTTATAAAATTTTGTGATAATATTTCATAGTTCTGCCATACAGTACTATACAATTTTTTGTCCATTTTATTTATTTCAACTATTTTATATTTATTGACAATAACCTAACTATAATCATTATCACTAATGATGATGGTTTTACATGGAATTGCTTCCTTCAATCTTTCAAAAACAGCGAGCCTTCATCAATCACCATTTGAAAAATTTGTAGAAGGCTGTGTAACACATGAAAAATGTCATTAACATAGCATAAATATCAACTCAGTCTTGAATAGAGTCATATGAGGTAGCTTCGATTATTTCATCTCCATTTTACAGACTGAAAAACTGAAGTTCAAAATCCTTAGAAGTCACATGATCAATCATTGGTGGCAACCAATGTGGCTTTAAGATCCATGGCCTCAAGTGCATTTGGGCCACGTTCCCAAACAACAGCAATGCAAGACTGTGTCTACTCTGAGTTCCTAGCCAGTGGGCCATAACACCACACATCTATTAAAATTTTCTCTCAAGGGAGAAATGAAAGTTTCAAAGTGTACGGAGAATCTGTTTGGATCTCATGACATACCAACAGGTACTAGCAGGTAAGCTGCACTCCTTCCTCATAACTCTACACAAATGCAATGGAATATTATTCAAATATAAATGAGGAGAAAGCCTGTCATTTGATACAAAGTGTAGAACAAGAAGGTAAGAAATGTAATCTTTCTTGCATTATAGATATAAAAAGGGAAGGGGGAGGCTGATCTCAGAGAACTAGAGTGTAGTCATACATTCGTGGCAGGGAAGGTTTTGGGAATTATTGTTCAGAGACACAAAATTTGTTTTTAATAGGAGAAACAAGCTTAGGAGACCTAAGGTTCAGTCCAAGATGGTGACTTCATGTGATAATAAATTGCATGCAAATTCTATAGAGGGAGTATGAAGTGTGCTCTTGACACAAAGGGTAACTCTGTGCATGAAGGCATGTCAGTTAGCTATACTTAATCATTTCGTATGCAAAATGATGATCTACATGGTAATTGCATTAATTTTATGTATTAATTTTTTAAAATTTAGGAATTACCACCAAAGGAATTATCTGGTCTTATAAGATAAATTCAGCAGCAATATAGAGTAAAAATAGGTTACTTTAGTAACTATATAGAAGCATGTATATATTTTCAGATATAATCTATAATTATGTGTTTGATGAATACAGTTTAGAATGCATGCCCCAAATACAAAATTGCAATAGGATTATCTTGAATTTTAATCAAGAGTAAGAGTACTGAATCACACTGGCTGTGGTAACACACACCACTAATCCTAGCCTGGTCTGCAGAGTGAATTTCAGGACAGCCAGGAATACACAGAGACACTCTGTCTTGGGGAAAAAAAAAAGAAAAAAGAAAGGTGGAATAAATTATTGTATTTTCAAATGGAATCCACCAAACTTTCATTTGCTTAAATGAAAATTTCATTTGTTTATCATAGTAAACAAATAAAATAAGACTGCGCCACTTGCAGACATTAGCTGGATGAATATGTAAGTGTAGCTATTCATTTTCATTGACAAACAATATTTGATTTAGAAATGACTGATGTCAAAAACCAAATTAGAAAATGATTGATGTCTTTGAAAAACTATTTGAAATGCACACACGTGCTGCATTTGATATATTTAAAGCTGCCTGCTTTTCTTACATCACTGAAATGCGGATTGTGACTGAGGCATCTTCATTTCTGATTAGCCAGTTGCAGACTTTGGAATGAGAAACACCTGACTCTCCTGACCCAGGTACAAAGGCTTAAATGTACACTTACTGGAGTCTGAAAAGGAGTAATATCAGGGCTGTCACATGCTCCCTCCCCCCAATCAAATTTAACAAATGTAACAATTAAAAATTTTTCTTAGTGAGTATATAGGAACTTGGAAAAATTGGGTTCTTTCAAGGTAAAAAAAAAATAAACAATTACAATTCTTGGCTTTCGTTTTTAAAGCCATATATCCAGTACATTAATAAATACTTTACTGCAGTCTTGACTCTGTGATAATTATATGAAGTCTTGCTTCCTGTTCTTAAAATATCTCACATCATTTAAATCTGACAACTTTCCAAAAGGATGGGACCAAAGGAGACATTATTCTTCCTTTGGTAAGGTCTTTACTAATCAGACAGTGAACTAAATTAGGCTCACACTAGTGACTGACAGAGGCTGACAGTGAACTAAATTAGGCTTGTACTAGTGACTGATCGATGAGGCAGGTCACAGCACAAGAGAAACTAGCTTCTTTGATAACTGTATAGTCACATGTACATATTTTTAGATATAATATATAATTGCATCTGATATATATAGTTTAGAATGCATACCCCAAATACAAAACTGCAAAATACAAATATATGACTTATATAATTATTTTCATCTACAAACTTGTACTTAGCAGTAGGAATTTAGTATAACATTTACTTTGTGAATGCTATACCTTCTAAAAACATTTAGTGACTTACACTATACCAGAGTGCAGAACATATATATCCATTATGGTTGTTATTACTTTAAACTCTATTAACAGTTGAAGGAAATGAGTCTGGGAAAATTTAAGTGACTTGTTTAAAGTCATGAGCTGGTGAATGGCACAGCTGGGAATTCAGTACACATGTGTACGCTCTTGGGGCCAACTTATCATTATGATATACTTTATCCCATACTTTATCCCAAACATGACAATAAAAAATTGAGTGCCTTAAGTCTGCGAATTATTTTAGGAGACAGCATGCACCAATAGCAGTCCCTAAGTTGCCAGTCATAACAGAGAAGTACGACGACAAACTAACCATGAGAAATGTATGCCACCCCATCCTATCCTGCCTTTCACTGGATGGAAGTTAATGTTTGAAGGCCTCAGCTTCTGAGAGAATAAGGCCTGACATATGGGAAGGTTTCTGCAGACTAAGTGTTTGCGCCAAATTCCAGTCTGTAGCTTCAAAGAGAAACGTTCTCAAATGCCCATTTAACTTGATGTCACACGTCTAAATGTGAAGATGTGTGAACGCAGGCCCACAGAGGGCAACTCACCTGTAAATGAACGGAGCCACCGTGGCAGTGTTAGGATGACTATGTTGCTGCTGCTGAGGGAGCTGGACGGCCCCATTGCCTGGGCTCTGTCCACTGCTGTGTGCTCCCTGCATAACACAGGAACTGGAGGGAGATGCGTGGCCAGCTTCCCTCCCCTCCAAAGGAGCAGAGAGGCTGGGCGTGCTTGCTTTCTCTGTAGTGATGCCCTTTGGGAAGGCCTGAGAAGAGCTTCCCTTGCTAGTCCTGAATTTCTCAGACTCTTTGCTTGCTGCACTGCCGGGTGAGATGGTTTGCTTTGGCGTGGGCACCTTTGAGCCTGGCTTTGGAATTCCACTGGACGATGGAATTAAGCTTTCTTTCTTGGCTGCTGCGGTCTTGCTGCCCTTTGGGATCAAGCTTGCGATTTTAGAGGTCTTTTTCGGTGCTGCCTCCGTCACCTGATCCTTCTCGTCTTTGCCCGGCTTCTCAGCACAGGCTTTATTCTTGTCCCTGTTCTTTTCCTCCTTGTCTTTTGGCTGCAGCAAAGACTTTTTATTGCTGAAATTTTTGCTTCCTGCTTTTGGAGGGGTTAATTTAGGTGACACTTTGGGACTGCTGTTTGTTGAGCCACCGCTGTTCAGACCACTGTTAAAACCTTCCATTTCTCCTGATTCCGAAAAGGCATCGTCTTCTTTCCCACCATCATTAGGTCCGGAACTGGGAGCCTGAGGGGGGCGTAATGCTGTCCGGGCATTAACCAGCTTGAATTTTTCAAGCATAGATTTCTGTCCCGAAGGAGCACTTTTGACCCCTTCTGTGACAGGAGGCTTCAGTCTGTCTGAAGATGGTGTGGGAGACGTGGCTGGGCTTGGCTGCTTCACTGTCAGCATGGTGGAGGTGGCACTGTGCTTAACATTCATGGACTTACTGCGCCAGGGCTTGCTGGTGCTTGGGGAAGGGATGGCCGAGGCTGGGGGTTGCCCGGAAGTACTGGGAGGTTGTGTGTTTCCATTTATACCTGAAGATGGTTGGGGTCCTTTGGGGGAATCTGTACATGAATAAGAAAATAAATAGAAAGATTAATTTCCCTTAGTCATTTATATATCACCATTGTACGTTTGTTTTTATTTTCCTTCAAAAAATAGGTATCTCTGTGCCTCTGTGTGGGTATGTGCATGTGAGTACAAGTACCAGCGAAGGCCAGAAGAAGGAGTCAGATTCCCTGTACTGGAGTTGCTGGTGGTTGTGAACCAGCCAATATGTGTACTGGGATTCATATCTTCTGCAAAAGCGTCTTCTGTTCTTGGCCAATGAGCCTTCTCTCCAATCCCACGTATTTCCTAATCACATACATATTTCTTCTGAACTGAAAATGACATATTAAACAGCATTAATTATTTTTGTGTTATGATTTTCACTCTTTATATTTTGGTTACCATTTGGAAGGGATCAATTTAGGGAGAAAACAAAACATGTATGCAAGTTACTCTTACCAAATGAAATTTATCAGCTCTCAGTATTTATATGTCCGAAGATAATATCCATCTACTAAGAAACTCTTTTGTTGTCCAGCTCATTCTAATAAGTGAATGTTCTGTGTTGCTTATGAAATGGAGATTTTTTTTTCTGAGTTGCAACAATATTATCTTCTTGTTATCTGATTAAATATGATTGATGGTGTAGCCATTTAATTAACTGTATTTATTTACATAAACTAACCACTAAAGTCATATTTTGTGGTGTGTGTGTGTGTGTGTATCTGTGTGTCTTTGTGTGCATGTGCGTATATGCACACATAAAGATAACTTTTGGAGTTGCTTTCTCACCTAATTTGTTCTGAGACAGGATCGTCATGTCTTTGCTTCTTCATGGTCAGCCAGGCTGAGCTGTTAGGTGGTTTTTCTGTCTCCAACTCCCTTCTACCTTTCTTCTAGATGTAGAAATTCTAGGATTACAGATGTATATGCTACTGCATTTGGCATTCTGCGTGGGTTCCAGTATCTAATTCAGGTCTTTGGAATTGCATTGCCAGTACCTTTATATACTGAAATACCTCCCCAGATCCAAACTCTATTTCTGTTTTTATTCACGATAATCCTCAGACAAGGGTGTCTATCATCCTCCTCACTTTACAGGCTCCCCAAAGACCTTCTATTATCTGTCTCTCAGCATAAATTTACATGTTTACTGATCTTATGAAATTACTGTCATACTATTCTGCTTTTTTTCTGGGAATATTAATCAATACAATTTAATTCCTTCTATCTACAGAACCTAGTCTAATCATATCATCTGCTAGTATTTACTGAGTGGCTTCTGGATTTAAGGCACTCTTAGTAGAATCATGTTAGAGCAAAGAAAGGGGACATAAGGCAAATGCCACTGTATGGTGACATATGTCAAACATCAGAAGAGCAGGGTATGTGAAGTAATGGTAGAGATAATGGGAGTTACCTGATCTTACACGGAGTTGCCCAATAAAGCCAGGACAGACAACATGAGTGCTCAAGGCAAGAGGGGTATTCATGAAACAATTAAGGAAGTATACATTTTTTTCTACTTACTTCCATTTATAAAGACATATACATATATTAGAAAACAAATTTGGTGGGAAATACAATCACTCAAAAATCCAAGCATGTTCTGGAAATACAGCTTGGAGGACCATGATGATATATCACCCTGACTTCATCAAACTCTGTCACATTGCCATCAAAAAATATTTCTGGCATTTCCAATTCTACAAGGAAAATAACGGTAACATTTCTAAACAGCCATATTTAAGTCTACTGAAGAGTTGTTAATTTTACTATTTGACAACAGCCCTATGAGGTAGGAAGAGCTTTCATTTCTATTTCAGCATCCTAGGTGAATCTAAGTAACTCAGTCAATAGTTTACCACAAACAAGAGCTCCTGCACTATGTGACTCTGTTTCTTTATTTGAGTGACTTATGTTTACAGCTCATTGGACCTCATAGTTTAATGGGATCCATTGCTATCTGGGCATCTTAGTGCATGTGTACTGTGATTCAACAGGTCTTTCATAGGATCCGATAGTCTGCATATCTAACAAGCTTCTGAATATTATAATTACCCCAGGTCACAGACCATGTTTGGAGTAGATAGGGTTGAATTAATTCATTTCCCCACTTCCTATTATGATGACATCTATGATGGCTAAATTAAGCAATGCCTTCTAATTACACAGTGTTAATATTTTTGGTTTCATTGAAGTCTGAGAACCTTATTCAGATCTAAGCTCATGTGGGTACTACGATGTTTATGGCAGAGAATCAATAAGAACAAATAAAGCACATCACAGTTTCTAGTCCATCTTCTCTTCATTTTAGCCAAGAAATTAGTTTGAGTCTACTGTATATTTGTTTACAAGTCAAAAGTGCCCTGGCTTTGAGGATGTGGAAATGATCGTAAGGATAAGAATGGGAAAGAGTTCAGGATGCCTTTGAAATGGTTGATAGACAAGAAAAGTAATGCTGTTCCTTTCTTAGGAAAAAAAAACAAGCTGAGGACATTAGCTAAGTAGACAATAGAGATCAAGTACAGAAGAGGAAATTGAACGCCACTACACCTCAGAATAAGACACGTGAGACTCTAGGTTATGACATCCCCACACAGCACAGTAATAGTCATGGCAACAGCTGTAAAATTGGCTTCAGCTGAGTGCACACATCTTAGACTCTTCGCAATGCTCAGCTCTCAGCCTGTCCCCAGGCTGTCTTCATATGGCAGCTGTAAGGAGCCTTGGGATTCTTTAAAAGGACAAACCACAGGTCGCTGAGTATCAGATAAATGCCCAAGTGAAGAAATCTCCTGAGACTCCTCACGGTAGAGTACAAAACAGCAGCAGCTGAAGTGGCAGTGTCTGTCCCTTCTACAGAGTCGGTCAAGTGGGAACCTTTGGTTCAGCCAATTACATATACAATAGTGAGCACCCTGCACCCAGTGGCGTGATTCTGAAGGTTAATAAGTTAGCTTCTAACTACAAATATATCTTGCTATAGGAAATCAAGACCATATAAAGTCCTTCAAACAGTCTGATTGTGCCGTGAATGTTTATGGCCTTTTTCAGTTTGTAGTGATTGATACTTCTTATCTCTGGTCCCTAAATGACAAACTTTTCTTTTAATCTTTCTTCTCTTGCATCTATATACCAATCATCACCAACTCTAACCACTAAGTAAGAGATCTCAACTTAGTACTCTAAATATTTTGTGAGATATTTTTGAACGTGCCCTTGCATTAAAACCCATAACAACCACTCATGCTACGGAAAATTCCTTTGCCAGAAAGAGAAAACTGAAGCTTCATAAAAAGAAAGTATATTGTTCTCAAAAGCACACACAGCAAGACTCAGGACAGCCCAAAACATTGGATCAGACTTATTCTTGTCTGATTCAGAGAGGAAGTAGTTACTTCTTTGTTCTGTACATTTTCTATAAACCCTGAAATTTTGATGGTCTTTCTCACGGGAAGCTAAATGAGTATTCATTCGAATCATGTTTGCTTTCTTTCCCACTGAGAAGAATTTGAATAGAAATAATATTAATGACTTTATCTAGTATACTACTCTACCCTGATAATTCACTTACACACACCCCTCATATATATTATGACATCATATACTAATTCATGGCTCCAAATGATCTAAACTTGACACATCATCATCTGCCTTCCTAAACCTGCACATAACAGCATCAACAATTCAGAAGCAACCCCAGTCTACTCTTAAACTCAATACATTAGAGTAAATACGGTCGTTACAATAGACACGGGAAGATTAGAGATACTGTCATTGCTGAACTTCAGTCATTTAGAGCCTCGAATCCATATTGTTGACTGCTATCGTCTTCATAAGAAACACAAAAAAATATCCTATATCTGTACATCTATTTTTCACTGCTAAAATTCTTACTCAGTTAAAAGAAAACAAACGTAAAACTAAGCAGCATATAAGGTGATATTGAAAATGATAGCAGCAGGAGTCTTTGGAAAGTGCTCTCTGTAGAACAGGCTAAGTCTCCATGATAATGCTAGCCTCAGATACAGGACACCCTAAGCACAGGGATCTTGTGGAAGAAAAGAATCAATGGAATTACGGGTTTGTGGTCATAAGATTGGTAATGATCAATACATAGAAGATCAATTTGTTTCACAGTAGCATCCCAGAAACATCTTAGTAAAAGGAGAAAGGTCTCAAAGCATGACCCGGGTATAAACATGTGTGTTGGCTTTATCGTGTCTCAGTACACTGCCTTACAAAGGCTTGTGAAATGTTCCAGCCACTGTTTCATAGCGACTCAACAGAAGCCCAGGATGCTATTACACAGACACTGTCCTCTCTGTGTACACTTGCCGGTACCACTTGCAAAGTCAGAGCTACATTGTGAAGGGTTGTGTTATTTGGGATGCTTCTATTGACTGACCTGCTATTCACTATTTGTAGTGATGAATGAGATCCCTCAGTACTTGTGCATGTGCATATAAACAGCAGTGGACTGGACTTCTTACTTCATATGTGCTCATAGCTGGGCTAACAGCTGAAAACTCAGATTTCAGAAATTATTATACTGATATATTTTATAGTAAACAGTAAAAAAAAAGAGCTATGGTAAACACAATGAAATTATTAGTAGTTTAAAATAATAATTAAAACATATACTTTGAGGCTAAAGGGATTGTTCAGCAGTTAAGAATACTTTCTGTTCTTGTAGACGACCCAGATTAGATTACCAGGAGCTACATAGCTGTTCAAAGCTATCTGTGATTCTATTTCTGGTGGTTCCAATGACTTCTGGCCTCCATAGGCATAAGTCATCCATGTGATATATGTATCCACATGTAGGCAAATTCTCATGTTCATAAAACAAAAACATATATATATATGCATACATATATATATATATTTGTAAAACAAAACTAGTTTGTTAATGTTTCTCTAATGTAAAATATATGTATTATATAGGAGAGATAAAACAGTTTAGTTTCTTATTATTCATTTTACAAGAATTGGGAGAAAATAAAAAATA